TCATGGAACGATTGCTTCACCATCTTTAAGTGTACTTTTTAGTGCTATTAAGCACATTGTTGGGCAACCATCACCACCATCCATCTCCAGAATGTTCTCATCTTCCTGAACTGAAGCTCTGTCTCCATGAAACACTGACTCCCCCTCCCCCTCCCCCTGGCCCCACCACCTACTTTGTGTCTCTAAGGATCTGACTCCTCTCGGAACCTCCCATGAGTGGAAACTGACAGACCGAGCATCGTGTCTTCAAGGTTCATCGTGTTGTAGCAGGTGTCAGGATCGCCTTTCTTTTTAAGGTTGGATAATATTCCATCATATAGATACCACATTTAGTTTATCCATTCATCTGTTAATGGACACTTGGGTTGCTTCCATGTCTTGGCTGTCGCGAATCCTGCTGCGATGAACATGGGTGCGCAAATACCTCTTCCAATACGGCCTCCAAACTTTGACCTGGAATCGCTGACCCATCTCCCCCACCGGGCTTCCCCAAACCCATGCGTTGTTTCTGGACTCTGTCCTCAAGGGAGATTCCTAAGAGTGTGGTCCTTGGAAAAGGGTCACCTTCTCAGCCTCCTCCAGGTGAAATGAAACAGGTCCTAAGCAGGCACAAGCTTCTTATTCACCTTGGTGACCTCCAGTCCTCGAGCCCACCTGGGCTCTGCTGATGGGTTGCCCAGGATTGGAGTCTGGAGGGTTCAGGACATACTGGATGCAGAGGAATTGAACACACTCTTGTGTCACACCTAGTGTCAGTCAACAAGCAAATGGGTTCTCTCAGGTGCTCAGGTGGGTATCAGCTGATAGAACCTGTTATGGTTTGAATCGCATCCTTCCCTCGCCCCCCCCCCGCCTGCCAAAAATATGTTGAAGTCCTAACCCCCAGGACCTCAGAATGTGACCTTGTTTGGAAATAGCGTTTTTACAAAGGCAATCAAATTAAAATGAGGTCATTAGAATGGGCCCTAACCTAATATGACTAGTGTCCTTACAAACAGAGAGAAATTAGGATGCAGAGACTGCTTTAAAATGTGGGTTTTATCATTATGCAGGTATGACAGAGACAACGGGCCAGGAGACAATGGCCATTGAAAAGGTAGGTGGTTGGCAGGGGAGGGTATAGCTCACGTGGCAGGGCGCACGCTCAGCATGCATGAGGTCCTGGGTTCAATCCTCAGTACCTCCTCTGAAAATAAATAAGTAAACCTAATTACCACCTCCCTGCAAAAAAAAAAAGGTTATTACAGTTCCTAAAAAGAGGGGCGCGGTACACCACACAGGGCCACATGGGGCAGCACCAGGGTTGGTCAGGAGGTGGACAGGGCCTGGGGAAACATAAGAACTTTATCGTGGTTCCCAAGGGGAAGGCCAGGCAATGCAGGGTAAGCAGGTTTAGGATTAGCCAGTTTGAATAATTTCAGCCAGCTTGGGGTGTAGGGGCTGGCCCTCACTGCCTGGCACCCGGTCCCAGGTGCTTAGGGCAAAGGTGAGGCCCGTGGTGGTTGAAGGTGTGGGCTCTGGACTGGTTGCTTTGCATCTGAATGGTGCCCTGCAGGGCGATACCAGGAATTAATTCGTCCTGGGAGGGGCAGTCCCTCCAGAGCCAGCAAGGCCTCAGGTGTAAAAGCATCAAAAACACAGATAACAAAAGCTATGCTTATACACTTCCATGGTTCTAAGTCACCTAGTTCATGGCACTTCATTACCCGGCCCCAGGAGACAGATATAAACCCTTTCTGGAGGGTAGTTTTGTAATAATCACAGAAATATGTGTCTGTTCTTGAATGAAAAATAAGGCTGAATACAATTCCATTGTATGGATGGACCACATTTTGTTTATCCATTCATCCAGCAATGGATTGTTTCCACCTGTTGTCTATTGGGAATAATTATGGTATGAAAATGCATATGCAAATATCTTTTTGAGACCCTGAGCTCGCTTCTTTTGTGTCAATACCCAGAAGTGGAATTACAGGATCATACAGTAGTAGTCCTTGGTTTAACTTTAAAAACATTTTTTTTAAGATTTATTTAATTTTTTTGGAGAGGGGAGGTAATTAGGTTTACTTATTTATTTTTAGAGGAGGTACTGGGAATTGAACCTAGGACCTTGTGCATGCTAAGCATGCATTCTACCACTTGGGCTATACCTTTCTTCCTTGGTTTAACTTTTTGAGGAATCCCCAGACTGCTTTCCTCAGGGGCTACACCATTTGCATTCCCACCAGCAATGCATGAGACTTCTAATTTCTCCACATCCTCACTAACACTCATTATTTTCTATATTTAAATCTAGTTTGTTTTTTTTTAATAATTGTCATCCTCATGGATGAGAGGTGGCACCTCCCTGGCACCCCAGCTAAAAAAAGCCTCTATGAAGTAGAGTGGTTCTGTTACCTTCTGGCTTCTGGAGGTTCCGGATGAGAATGCTCTCCTAGGATGCCCTCTAGATCTTCCAAGTCAAGACATTCCAGAAGTGGCAGAGGTGTACCTCTTCTTGGCGGTGTGTCACCGGGGGCGGGGCGCAGTCTGACAGTCAGGAGCCCTTTCCTTTAGAGACACAAGCCTGTCTCCAGCTCAGGAAATGTTTGCCCATCATGGTTCTGTGGCTCTGCTCCGATTTCTCTACCCAGAGTTTCTGGAAGCCCTCCCGTTCCGAAGTTCCTGCCTTGGACCTCCAAGGTTCTTTGGGGCACTGTGTTCCTCCCACCCCTCCTCCTGGCCAGCACTTTTGCTGTCAGCAGTCGCCATCCCTCCTTGCCCTGGGATGAGTGGCCGCTGGACCACACGACGGCTAAGCTGCATCTGCTGCCCCCAGATGATTCTTAACCCTCCCTGCAATGCTCGTGTGGCCCTGCCGTTTCATCCTTCCTGTGGCTCTGGCTTCGTAGGAGTCACAGGGGACAGCTGTCCTCTGTGCATCTTGGGCTTCTGCTCTCCGGTGGCTGATCCTGCAGGAGCTGACATCACCCAGGTTTGTTCCTTCATTGGACAGGCTGGTTGGGTGGGAGGTGGCGAGAGTGACCATACATGGATAAGGGTTGAAGCTGACAAATGGAGTCATGGAGGCTCACCACGCTGTCTAGATATTCTCTCTGCTTTTGACATTCTCCCTAACAAAAAGCCCCACGTGACATGTAGTGTGGGGTGGCGCCTGGACTAGGCTATTTCCTGAAGCACTGTCTGAAATTAACAAAGGCTCATCACTAGCAGATGACGTGGTAAATAAACCACAGCTGCGCTCACCAGCGGAGTCCTGCATAGGAAGAGAAGGAGCACATTATCTTTGAAGTGACACCGAAATAGTTCCAAGAAGTCTTAAGAGGTGAGAAGAGCAAGTCCGTTCATAGCAGACTATTCACAAGCACCCAAAGTGGAAACAATCCAAGTGTGTGTCAATGGATACACAAGCTATGGTCCAATCCATACAATGGAATATTATTCAGCCACAAAAAGGCAGTTTCCATACATGCTACAACGTGGATGAACCTTGATGTCATTACTGGTTGAGAAAAACATTAGATTGAAAGGCTACATACTGCATTATTCTATTGATATGAAAAGTCCAGAGTAGGCAAATCTATAGAGACAGAAAGTAGATTATTGGTTGCCGGAGCTGTGGGGAGGGGGTAGTGGGTACAGGATTTCATTCTGGGCTGATGAAAATATCTTGGAACTAGATAGATGGTTGCACAATACTGGGAACTGCACTGTAAAATGGTTAATTTCATGTTATGTGAATGTTATCTTAATTTAAAAAGCCGAAAAAGATGATCATCACCGAAAGGCACTTATTTGGTTTACAAGGAAGAGAAATGTTTACAAAGAGGAAAAAAAAAAAAGCAAGGGCAGAAAGATACAGAAAGCAGATGGGTCCTAATGTTTGAGTTCATTGTCAAAGAGAAAAGAATGTATGAGAGACAGAGAGGTTTCCACTGCCTCCCTCTTTCCAGGAGACTGAGGTCTGGGGCTTTGTGACCTGGAATCAGATCTGCCTGTGCTCTTTACTGGCTGTGGGGACTGGGTGAGTGACTTGGGGGCCCTGTGCTTCTGTTTTCCCATCTGTGTAATGGGTACAGGAGGGCCTGCCTCACGGGTCTGCTGTGAGGGTCCTGCCAGGCACAAAGTGAGCACACCATGAAACAGATGGGGAAGCCCTGGGGTCCAGATGTTCTCTGTGACCACCCCCAACCCCCTGGCCTGTGCCTGACCTTCTCGGGACCTTCCCAGGAACTCCAGGACCTGTCACCCTTTCACTGCCACCCCCCCCACGTCAGTCTCATTTCCAGGCATCCGGCCAAACTCTCCAGCCATATGCTCCATCCTCCCTGAGCCCAGCTGCTTCCTGCGCTCAGACAAAGAGAGCTCTGTCCCCAGACCACCAGGCCCAGGCAGGCCCAGTGCACCCCACACAGCACAGACTGCACCCCCACCGCCATGTCTCTTTGTCCCCAGCCCTGGCCCTGTGCTCCTGGGCACACTGTGCCAGCCCTGTCTCCATCCCTCCCTCAGGACCATGCTAATGGGCATTTGGGAATCTTCTGGCCCTGGACACACACAGTTGAGTTCTGTCTGCAAGAGGGGACTCTGGAAAGGCACAGAAAGTCAGGGGAGGGGGCACGTGGGGAGCGAATGGAGCTGGAATGACTCAGACATTCCAGAGTGCCCCAGGATGACAGCAGTGTGGGGGTGCTTAGGGTAACATGAACGGTGTGGCAATGTGACAGCGACAGGTGACAATGAACAGGAACAGGGGGGTGATGGAGAAAGTATGACAGCAACAGGTGATGATGAGGAGACAGTGTGACAGCAACAGATGACACTGTAATAGGAGAATACCCTAGAGATTGGGGTAATGTCAGAAGGGCGGCCGTACTACGGTGACTGGGGACAGCAGGGGAGCTTTGCAGTGAGAGGTGACAGCACTGTGATGACAGGCCTGCGCCGACCTGGTTTTCTTCAGTCTGGTCGGGAGGAAGAAACAGTCACCCTTTACCCACCTTGGGCCTTGTTTCCTGGAGTCTTGACTGCTGTTCAGAGCACCACCCAACCAGAGGCAGCCTCCTTTCCAAAGGTGGTGGAAGACCCCATTTGCTGGGGGAAGCCGTGTTCTTGGGGAAGCACAGTAGGAGGCTGGCTGGGGTCCGCGTGTCCATCCTGGGGTGCTGCTGGCTTGGCTAGGCGATAAGGCCCATCGTCCTCTCCAGGGGCTTGGGACCCCCAGAGCCTGTCTTTGAAGCGGACACGCTCTCTCCCGTTGCCAGGTGGCTCCACGCAGGGAGAGCTATGTGTGTAGGGCAAGGAGACTATACCCGGGTCAGGTGTGGCGAAGAGTGACGAAAGTTGATTGGCTGCCAAAAAAAAAAAAAGTGTGATGCGGGTGGGGGTATAGCTCAGTCGTAGAGTGTGTGCTTAGCATATGCGAGGCACCTCCATCAAAAAAAAAAAAAGACTGTGATGGTGATGAATGACAAGGGAGAGGGTTCAGGAACAGGGACTAATGACAAGACAGCATAGAGGACCTCTGCCATCTCCTTGGCCATCAGGCAACTCAGATGACCTTTCCCCGGGTCTGGGAAATACCCCCTTCACAAGGTGGATCCCATAACAAAACGTCTGCATTTTCCCAGCCCCCTTGCAGCAAGGTGAAGGCATTCACCTGCATTGTCCTCCAGCCAGGTGGCTCTGCCCTGAATCTTGACAGATGCTGGCATCAGAATTGGGGCCCCTGGATTCCGTTTTGCTGAGGGTGGCGCTGGTTTCCAGCATCCGGGACCATCAAGCATTATCTGAGCCCAGGGAGTGGAGAGGGAATGGATGGGACCAGCTCTGTGGGTGATTTGGGGGTGACTCTTCTGGCTGGAGAACCCCAAATCCTTCCGGGGATTCTGCACGTGACCGTGTGCCCTTTCTGCTGAGGCTGATTTCTTATCACTTGCAGTTGGAGAATCCTGACACTCTGGGTGACAGTACAATTATTAATGGATGACAATGTCACAGCAACAAGATAAAGGTGACAGGAGACAACATGAATGTCACAGGCAGTGGAGGAAGCCATAAAACAGCAAGGTGTCCCATTGATGGGTGATAGCAGTGAGTGACAGTGACGGGTGACCTTGGAATAGGAATTTGGCGATCCTGCAATATTGATGGGGAGACTGTGTGACATGCTCTGTCCTCATGACAGTGTTGGGGTGGCCCTGGGATGCCGGGAGGCAGGGAATGAGCGCTTAAATGTCACTTTGCGACAGTGTGACATACTGGAGTGACCACATAGGGGACGTTCTCAGGGAGACCTCATTGGTAATGGGCAGCAGTGTCACAGACCCAGGCAGCAGTGCCAATGAAAGGCAAGAAGGTGTGACAGTAGTTGTGGGGGTTGCATTGACCAGAAGCACTCAGTCCCTACTGTCACTGAGAACTTCCGCATGTCAGGGAGACTTCCAATAATTCCACATTGCTTTTGTCTGGGCACATTTCATGGAGTCCTTCTCTCCTGGCTGCCAGAGAGCAGGTAGGGAGAAGGAATCACTGCCTGATCCACCAGCCTTCCCCTGGGCTTAGCCATCGGAGTATTGGTCATGCTATGTCCCTGGCATGGGACGATCCCTCCCTACCTTCTGCACCTACGCTGGGCGCTTCTAGGACAGCTGGTACCTACCCCAGTGTCTGTGTAAGACACATTTGGTGGCTGCAGAGCAGACTAGGTGGACCTTGGCAAAGGAGCCTGAGAAGGGGTGACAGAGGTGTCCCTGGAAGCTGACTCTTCCACAACAGTCCCTGCGCCTTCCCATACTGGAATCCCACACCTCTGTCAACTTGACCCCGAGGTTCTGCCCTAGCCCACTCTCCCCACGCCATCCTGACCCTTCTCTCAGGCCCCGGGAACCCTGCTCCCTCTACCAGGATGCCCTGAAACTTGTCCTCAAAGTTTACCTCTGCCTCATGCTTCCTCAGCCCAGCCCTGGAGCCATCACTGCCCCCAGACTCAGTTCTAGACCCCACAGAGTAGCCTCTAGAGTGACTCCTTTTCCTGGGAGCCCAACCATGGCCCCCCTCAGAGGTGGGGGTAGACTACTGAGGGCTTCTGGGTGCTCCTGGCCTCTGCTACCTCTCTAGGGCCCCTCTCGCCCTCCTTCTTTTTCTCCTTTCCCCCAAATCTCCAGCCTCACTCAATTCCCGAATGTTCCATACTCTCCTGTCTCTAGGCCTTTGCCTGTCCTTCCCTCCACTTTTCATATTTGCTTCTTTCCACTGATCCTTCAAGGCTCCCATTCCTGGGCAGAATGCACCTTTCTCTTTCCCCTCCCAGGGTCCTTCTCTCTGGCGCAGGAGTGTCATTGAGTCCAGGCCTGTCTTTTGGAACCCATATTGGGAGATTATAAGAGTATCTCCTTGGTAGGGTTTCTTGGCGACTAAATGAGATAATGTATATGAAACTCTTAACACCAAGCCTGGCACATAGCACCAGATAGGTAACAGCTCAAATTGTTATTTGCTATTTATTATGTTCTGGAAGTGCTATGACGGAGGCACGATCGGCACAGTCAGTTTTGGGAATTCAACAGGGTAAAGTTAGTTTGAGGGTGGGGAGGATTTTTGAACTGGGCTTTGCCAGATGCATAGGAGTTTGCCGAGTGTAATAACAGCCTCAGGTCCAACAAACAGCTTCTGACCAATTCCCATTTTAAGGATCACTGATGGTGTCTCTTCTCAAGGGTGGGAAAGTTTTCAAGGAAAAACTAGAAAATTTTACTTGGGATATAGACTCCAGATATGAAGCAAAAACTCTGAAACTCAGCCCTTGTGGCAGGTAGAGAAACCGAGGATCAGAAAGTCTAGACATTTCTGGATTCTTAAACTCTTCGTTTTAAGAATCAGGATGAAAAATGCGGACCTCCTCCCTAGGAAATGCATCTTTGCCCAATGTTCTGTCTATTTTTAAGGGCTTCTGGATCTTAGTCGAGTTAAGAATCCAGGCTACAGGTAAGTTTCCCAAGTCACCGTTGGAATTCTCCTTGCCCGAGGGAAGAGGCGGCGGCGGCTTGGGAGGACGCAGGAGAGGGCCTCCAGGTGAGTCCCGGGACCTCTTGGGCCTGGATCTCTTCCAGGCTACCCCGACTCGCAGCCCCATCTCAGGGCTACCTTCAGTTAATTTCTATACGAAACGCGGTCCCCGCAGCACCCACACCCCGCGTCTCAGCCCACGCCTCGGCTTCGTGGCCCCCATGCCGTTTCTTCAGCCCCTTGGAGTTTCACCCGGAGCCCCAGGCCCTCCCCCAGCTCCAGCCCCTCCCCCAGCCCAGGATCTGAGCCCCGGGCCCCCGCCCCGGGAGCTTCGAGGTGCAAAAGCGCCCTCCCCCAACTCCTCCCGCCCCCGACTCCCCCCAAGTGGCAGCTCTGGGCTGGGAAGGCGGCGGGGTCGGCCTCTCGGTTTCGTGTTCCCGCCCCGGGCCCCCAGCGCCGCTCCGAACCGGCCCTCCAACGCCGAGCCTCGCGCATCCGCTCGCGGCGCCTGCCTCCACGCCG